CTTGGGCAGGTGAGATATGGAATCCCCCCACATCTTGCATTCTCCTCCCTTCTCTGTCTTAAGAATGCATTGTAGAAAGAGCCATGGTTGGGCACATGGGAAATTAGGCAGCCTGACAAAACCCATCTGCATCTGGTGGTAAAAGTATTTGAGCTGTTGGTTAGGCTATTCAATATTGACTGAACAAGAGTCTCAAGCTTCAGCCATTACAGGTAAGTAAATAAAATTAGTAAAAAAAAGTCAGAGCCGAACCGGTTTGGCTCAGTGGATAGAGCGTCGGCCTGCGGACTCAAGGGGCCCGGGTTCGATTCCGGTCAAGGGCATGTATCCTGGTTGCGGGCACATCCCCAGTAGGGGGCATGCAGGAGGCAGCTGATCGATGTTTCTCTCTCATCAATGTTTCTAACTCTCTATCCCTTTCCCTTCTTCTTTGTAAAAAATCAATAAAATATATTTTTTTTAAAAAGTTAGAAACATTTTTAAGGTTCCACTTTCATATGTAAAAAGAGTGAACATAAATATATCTTTGCTGGTCTTCCATGTCTATACTCTTATTTGTTTTTCCTGTGATTTGATCATTTCTTTTGAGTTAAGATGCTTGATTTTATTGTTCATCAAAAAAAAACGCATAGGTTTTATTGTAGTTTACCCCTGAGGCTACTCCACTGATGAAAATCAGGGGGAGCCATGGGCATTAAAAGTATAGTTTGTCCTGTGTTTCAATTTTCTTTGACTATTAAAACAATGCATATTAACACATGAACCTGATATTGAACGGATTGTACATCTCTCGGCTTTGTAACCATTTTCCACATTCATAAATTTTTCACAAATCTTATCATTCTTGCCAAGCAATGTCCTTCACTTAAAGAAAACCCATAGGAATGAAAATAACACATTAGGGAACTGATATTTCAAGAGTTTCTTATATCCCAGTTGGGGGGGAGGGGGAGAATGCCGTATCTTATAGGAAGCCCCAGCACAAGAAGACAGCCAATCTTAAATTGACGGACCTTTAACGTCCTTAACTAATTAACAGTATTTTAGTTCATCCTCAAAGAGTAAGGAACTAGCCAAGACCGGTTTGGCTCAGTGGATAGAGCGTCGGCCTACGGACTGAAGGGTCCCAGGTTCGATTCCGGTCAAGGGCATGTATCTGGGTTGCGGGCACATCCCCAATGGGAGATGTGCAGGAGGCAGCTGATCGATGTTTCTCTCTCATTGATGTTTCTAACTCTCTATCTCTCTCCCTTCCTCTCTGTAAAAAAATCAATAAAATATATTTTTTAAAAAAAAGAGTAAGGAACTAATTGCTAACCAGCATGAGGTTTTTTTCATGCAACAAAATACTGTGGATATCTTTCTGTATCACTAATCGACTTTTATATTTCTTTGATGCTTAATAATGTGTCATCATATGGAAGTTCTATAACTTATTTAACCCATAACTATTGTGGGGTTGTTGTTTTTTTTTTTATCATTTTCAGTTTTTTACCGTGGGTGAGCTTTGTTGCAATTGAATCTTTAACTATAGCTTAAGGTCTCTTTACCTCAAGAAGAGATGCCCTCTTTCTCTGCTGATACAGCATTGCTTCCTGGACTGCCTCTTTTACAGATTTACACTGGAAAGGCCAGTTAACCCCAGAGTGCATATCCCTTTACCATTCATAGATCCAAGAGAATGCAGATTCCAGACAGCATCTTTTAGCTTGTAACTCGTTATGACAATAACTTATCACAGGAAAAAAAAATTGGTGAGATATAATGGTGGCTATATTTATTGTAATTTTAATTCATTTTTAAGATACTGTCCTTATGAAATGTATTATTTTATTATTAAATACATTTCACTTGGTTACTAGAAGTTCACTTTACAGCCAACTTTTCAGAAATGCATCTTTTCCGCTAAGTGAGGCCCTTCTGTATCATATTTAGTACTTTATTTCACACACAGCTTGACTGTTGTACAGTATGTTTATTTATTGATAAGAGATAAGTAGCAATACCCTATTCTGCAGAAGATAAATTAGGTTCAGTGGGTCTAAGTGGTACATAATTAGTGTGTGTTTTTTTTTAGTAACAAGAGATAAAAAGATAGACCTTCAGAAAAAGCAGACTCAAAGAAATGTGTTCAGATGTAATGTAATTGGGATGAAAAACTGTGGGAAAAGTGGAGTTCTTCAGGCTCTTCTTGGAAGAAACTTAATGGTGAGAAAAATGCAGTTTTATCCTGCAAGTTTTTATAGTCATGAGTTTACATAATTTTTATAGCTATTAACTTTTTTAGATAATTATATAACTCAGTGACCTATGTATATTAGTATAATCTAAAGTGTAACAATAATCCTATTGAATTGGCTTTATCTTCGCTTGTTTATTTATTTATGTATTTATTTTCAATATACTTTTTTTCTTTTTTATTGAATTTATTGGGGTGACATTGGTTAATACAATTATATAGGTTTCAGGAGTACAATTCTATATATTATGTTATCTGTATATTGTATTATGTGTTCACTACCCTATCTTTGTTTTTTTATGTTGGCTATCATTTTTCTTTTTTAAAAACCAGTGTTTAGATGAGAATTAAATGAATACACTTGTGAAAGTCATAAAAATGCTTGGCATGAAGTAAATATACAATAAAGACTTAGAAGGGAATGCTGAAATCCCATTCTGACTGCTGCTTTGAGTAAGGAGATTGACGTATTTTCAGATGAGTCTCCTATCAGATAAAATTATAGTATAATGAAAATTGCCAGCAGGCCGCTCTGGAATACGGTTTCAGTAATGTAGTTTACTTCCTTTTCAGTCACTGCCTTCACTTAGTGCTGAGCAAATGCGTCTTTTGTTTTAGACCTTAAGAACTAAGAAACAAAGTCAATACCTCCTTTGTACTGAAAAAGAATACATAGTG